GTGGGGGCCTGGCCAAGGGCATCCTGGGCTCTTCTCACCGTGAGATGCGATTGAGCATCCCCTGGGGGGCACCTGGCGCATGTAACTGTACTGTGCCAAAGCCCATTGGTGTGAGCTCCCCGCCGGAGCCTACCGCTTCCTTGGCCGTGGGCATCCCTCTGCCCTGTCCCGCGTGTCCCCCTGTACCCACCCCATGACAGCCCTACCTCACTTATCGCCTGCCTTCCCCCCGCAGCCACTCCGTGGAGAGCCCCCAATAAGATCGACCTCTACGACGTGCGCAGGCGGCCCTGGTAAGGGGGAACCAGGTGGGATGGGGGGGTCCCTTTGCCGGCCATTCCCAGCCAGGAGCAGCCAGCTCCCTCCCCTTTTCATTTCACACATGGCTGGCTTTGGCAAACAGACACTGTAATACGGGCACGGGCATCCAGGCTGCATCTCTCAGCTCCTGCTTCCCTCCCCTCTTCCCGGGAAGGCAGAGTGGGACGGAGAGATAAATCCTTGGATACAGATCAAGCACGCAGAGCTGCCCTTCGTCCTGGTCCCACCTGCAGCCGCGGCTGCTGGCCTTCAGTCCCGGCCAGCATTCCCATCCAAACGGGAAAACAACTGGCTCTCGGAGTCCGGGAGCCAGGAGGATGGAGAGGGAATCGGGCAGGCAGTGCCAGGCTGTGGTTAAGCGATAGCTGCAAGCGGCCATTTAGCCACACACGGAGCGAGGCAGGATTGAATCTCTTCCCCTTAGCCCAGGTAGAGGTGCCGGCTTGGCAGCGCTAATTATCAGCTGGTAATTGTCATGCAGCTGGGGGAGCTGCGGTCCCACCCTGCCCACGGTTGCTGCCTCAAAACGTGGGCACGGATAAAAGCAGGCACCAGTCTCCGGCACGTGCCTGGGGAGCCGTGTATCCCAGGGGAGCACCCCCTGCCCGTCCCCCTGCCCGCGCCGGGAGCTGCCCCCGCTCCTTGTCAGAAAATTAATGGCCCTGCTACTATGGTTAATTGTCTTTGATTGCTCCACATTAATTATTAACTGTTCTCTGCCACGGAGTCTGTGCAGGTTATTGGCAGAGGGGGGACTGGCAGGCTGTTTCGGGGG